TGAACTGGAAAAAGTGAGTTAATACAATGAAGGAGATTAGTTTAAAATGATAAGTTATCTCAACTAACTAAATAAATTATTATAAAGTTGATTTGACAAAAGAAAATATGTTGCGATAACAAATCTTGAAAATATTTTTTTTTTACAGTGTGGATTTACTTTGAAATGATTTTTCACTCAGAGAGGGCTATAGTAAACTTCACAGATAATCTCCAAGAAACTGCAAGTAACTGTTTGAATTATTATTTTTTTCTTGTAAGAACATATTATTTGTTTTATTTAAAACTTTAAAAGTGTACTTACGGTTAGGGATTTGAACAAACTCCTAAGACTAAAGAAACTAAAAATATTATGTTAAGTTGATTTGACAAAAGAAAAAATGTTTTTACAGTGAGTGACCACAACATTTTTTCTTTTGTCAAATCAACTTAAATAATTTATTTAGTTCAGATAACATAATAATTTTGAGTTTCTGATGATTCAATAATTCTCCTTCATTGTATTAACTCACTTTTTTCCATTTTAATGAACTTAACATTTTAAGGCAACCAGGTTACTTACTTTTTTAAGTTAAACCAACAATATTTTTTTTTTGTAGGACATCTTTTCCAGTTCATCTCTTCTGTTCAGCCCGAGACAAGAAAAAACATGAACATATCGGAAATCTGCTTTATGGTAGAAATTGAATCGGTAATTCTAATTAAAAGTGACACTGACACTTTATTTCTCCCATATTTAATACTGTATAGCTTCAAGGGATATATGACGTGACTTGATTTGCATCTTATCCTCAGATGCTTTCTTAACTGCTGCTTTCTCACCGATGTCATTTTTGTTGTGTGTTTATTTTATTATTGAGAGAAAAACGAACAGCACATATTTACATATTCACCTGAACTCTGCCTCGATGTTTGCCGCTGTTAAAATGTATCTTTACCCCAAAAAAGAAATTTGCCGTGAGTGTATCGGGCCTGTGTTATAATTCCCTCAGCTGAGGAGATCACAGGTTGACCTCTTCAAGGTCACTTGATGACATAATGAATCCATTGGACTGATGGAAAGGAAGCAAAAAAGAAAGTTAGACAGATGCAGGTCTTGACCTGTCACTCATAAGGGAGCTTAGTTCACCCAGCCAGTTAAATCTCACTTTCTGCCAGCATTTGCTTTAGCCGGACCAGTGGGCTAGCTGTCAGGAAGACGATTCATTTCTCAAAGCTCATATTTAGAAATTGGAAAAAGGCGGGATATTTTTTTTTTTTTTTTTTTTTGGCAGACCCGTCAAGCCACCGCTGCTCTTCAGAACCTGAAAGCCGGGGGTGTGGTGTGCTGCGGGAAAATAAACACTGACTGCACTGTCTGTCTCATGAATATACAAAAAGAGGCACATAACTCCACACCCCAGCCAGATGACTGGCCGTGCCTCACAGGAAGCCGCACAATGCCCCTCTGGTGTGTGTTTGATGTAGCGCGTGGGCCACCAGATCAATGAGGGTGCAGGTGTGCGGGGCAGATGGTGGAGAGGTGATACCCGGGGCGCTGAAACTCAGCCGAGAAGCTCCATGAGGGCGGCCCCCGGGGGGAACAGAGCCATATGACTGATGCACTCTGGGATGCAGTGAGGCAGAGATGTGATTTATGGAATAGAGCGGTGAAAGTGAGCTCCCTGCTGTCTCATGCACACTGATGCTGTGCTTGCAAGATCTCAGTACACTTATTATGTGTTTTTTTGGGACACTTTTTGTCTAGTGTGTTGAATTTTTTGGGACTTTTTCATTAAACAATTTCTGGGTGAAATAAAGAGGGTTGTGTTCAAGTAATGTAGCTTTTTTCTGCTGTAAAAAAATATTGTTTGTTTAACTTAAAAAATAAGTAACTTGGTTGCCTTAAAATTTTAAGTTGATTGAACCGGAAAAAGTGAGTTAATACAATGAAGGAGAATGATTTAATCATCAGAAACTCAAATTAGTAAGTTATCTCAACTAAATAAATTATTTAAGTTGATTTGACAAAAGAAAAAAAAAACAAATCTTGAAAATATATATTTTTTTACAGTGTGCAAGACATGTAGTCATAGTTTAGTGTTGTTGTGTGTAATTTTGAAATGGGTTTAAATGCTTTTAACCCTGAATTATAAAGCCTTTGGGATGTACAGCTTCATCGTGTTTTTTTGTTCAGAAACTTTCACACTAATTACCTCTACAAACCTGTTTTCTTCCCTATTTAAAGATTCAGGCTCGGTTGATTGTTTTAAAATGTTGGTGCTCAAGAAATATTTCTCACTATTATTGAAAACAGTTGTGCTGCTACTGTATATATATTTTTGGAAACATTTTCAGGATTCTTTTGGTTAAATAATAGAAATAATAGAACAACATTTATTTGAAGCAGAATCTTACATTTTACATTTCATTTTTTGTTGTTACGTTTTAGCTCAACACGTGTTCAGGCGTTCCTTATACAACTGTCAGGAAATGAGGGGTAAAATAAACATGACTACTGTTAAAATTGAAACATAATTTTCTATTTTTTTTTTTAATGTGTGATTTTAAAGTTTTTAAATCAAACTAACGAGATGGCAAATCAAAACTATGAATTATTAATTAAAAGCACTGAGAAAAATGAATGGCATTTTAAAGAGAAGCAATCAAATTACCTGTCCTGAAAGACCTCACAAGGTGAGGGTGTCGCCACCTTGTGGTAAAGGTTTGGTACTTACATTTACACAGATTCCTCAGGAAGAAAGCACCAGTCCGACTCCATACAGCACTTTAAAGCACATTCTACATAATGTTATTACTATGACGTTTCCCTGTAGCCTGTAACTTTCTTTTCTTTTGTCATAATGTAAACTGCATGCTTTTCACTCATAAGCAAGAAACTGAATCAGGAAGAAACAGATCCACACATTTATCATTGGATTCATGGTTAAAGAGGCAGAAAGGGAGAATGTATACCTCTCAATGTTTTTAGTTCAGTGTGTCATGCCAAAATAAATGTTGGATTGCTCTGTTTCACTGCTAAAATAGCAAATAAAATAGGCTGAGGAGAGGTTAAATAACTTTTCACTTTGTTTATATTTGTTTTATGAAATTGGTTTGCAAATGCTACAATACATTGTGCAGTATTTAGATTTGTTTATAAAAATGCACCCTGCTAAGGACAGTATAGTGTTTACAAAATACCAGACAATTTTTTACTACATTCAAACTAACTTGGTTTAATCATTGTCACATCCAAAATGTACTATAAATTTTCTTTAATTTTGTATGATAGAAAATGTTGGTACTCTTCATTGCAAAAATGTGGGTTCTGAAGCAACAAACGCATTGTTGAATTGATTGAATAGACATTGAAAACACCACCACAATACCGAGTCCTATCCAAGCACATGCAATTAGCATTTCCCTGCAGGAGGCACGACCGCATCACAGGTCATTTTTTTCTCCTTCGACATGTTGTCAGAGAGCGCTTACACATCTTTGAAAGGTAGCATTGAGTGTACTTCATCCTCATTGTCTAACTCCTCAATTAGTCCACATCCTAATTCTAGCATTTAGTGTTGGCATATCATGTCTCTTCTTGTTATCTTGCGTTGCAGACTTTTGTAAATAGTCATATTTAAAACTTTAATCCCCTCAATGGAAGATGACGTCCGTCATTTAGACAGATAAATGTTATCTCAGTCACAAAGCACTCCTCTCCTTTTTAACTAGCTAATGAGTTTGTTCTGTGGACTCCAGTGGAACGTTTCATCCGCAGCCCTTCAATTTGATAATGCTGTGCTTTTATCCCAGATGTCCATTCTCTGGGAAAATGTGCAGCGCATTCGGCAATATACTCGTCCCTCACTTGTTTGTTGTGGCTTCAAAGCGATGCAGCATGCTGTATGTGGGATCAAAAGTATTATATTTGCATTTACCATTATGCTGATTTTATGTATGTAGTATAAAACGGATAAAAGGAGAAACTTCATTTTGGTTCTGAAAGAAAAAAATAAAATAAAAATAGGGTCCACACTGTCAGAAACATAATAGAAAGCCCCATATATATGTACACTACCGGTCAAAAGTTTTAGATCAGTAAGATATTTTATGTTTTTAAATGAAGTCTCTTCTGCTCACCAAGCCTGCTTTATTTGATGGAAAAAAAAAATAATATTGTGAAATATTATGACAATTTAAAATGACTGTTTTCTATTTTAATATATTTTAAAATGTCATTTGAAAGCTGAATTTTCAACATCATTACTGTTGCTGATTACACATCAGTGTTCAGTGTCACATGATCCTTTGCTGATTTTATGCTCAAAAAGACATAAATTATTAAAATGTGCACTATTTTTTCCCCCAAAAAATTCTATGATAATTAGAAAGTTCAAAAGAACAGCATTTGTTTAAAATCTAATCTTTTCTAACATTATAAATGTCTTTACTGTAAGTTTTGATCAATTTAACTCATCCTTGATGAATAAAAGTATTTTCTCATTTCTTTCCCCCCAAAATAAAAAATAAATTCTTACTGACCCCAAACTTTTGAATGGTTGTGATTTAATGTTACAAAAGCTTTCCATTTCAGATCAATTCTGTTCTTTTGAACTTTCTATTCATCAAAGAATCCTGAAATAAAACTGTTTTCAACATGGATAATAATCATACATGTTTCTTGAGCATCATATTATGTAGGATCATGTGTCATTACTGAAGAGTAATGATGCTGTAAATTCAGCTTTGATCACAGGAATAAATTACACTTCACATAGAAAACTGCTGTTTTAAATTGTAATAATTTCACAATATTCCTGGGTTTTTATTTTTATTTTTTATCAAATAAATGCAGCCTTGGTGAGCAGAAGAGACTTCTTTTAAAAAAACATAAAAAAAATCTTTTGACCGGTACTGTATGCATGTACGTCAATCTCAAGGAACCTCAGATAGCATAAACAGCTGCCTTTAAATGGTTAATATCCTCTATTAAACCCTAATCTTTGCTTTTACTCACAGGAGGACATGTGTGGTGTTCCACAACAAAACACATAATGGAAGGAGATGAACTTGCAGCCTGTGTGGTGGATTTGCACTCGCATCTTCAAACACCAGCCCAAACTCCCTATAGTCAAGGGATGTACCCGGCCCGACAGCTGGACGGCATCCAACTCCTTCCTCAGCAAGCCGCCATGGCATCCATACTGCCCGGCGCTATCATCAACAGTGAGTCCTGCATTATCAAACCTCTGCCACAGTGGATAGACTGATTAATGTGCTTGGTTAAAAATGGAAATCCATGTCAAAGAGTTATCACAGCTCTGATGTGCATGTTTGCCATGGATAAGAGAATTACCAAGGGTCGAGGTTGACCTTCAGTTTGCCGGAATTAGATATTTACCCTCTTTCGTTCTCTAATCACAGTTAACAAGAATTTGATGAGAACAACAGCGCATTTGTTTTGATGGGGTCTATAGGGTTGGGTTATGGGGTTCATCTTATTACTGCGCAACTGTAAAAAAAAAAAAAATATTTTCATGATTTGTAATCACAACATTTTTTTCTTTTGTCAAATCAACTTAAATGATTTATGTAGTTCAGATAACATCATATTTTGAGTTTCTGGTGATTAAATTAATCTCCGTCATTGTATTAACTCAATTTTTCCATTTCAATGAACTTAAAATTTTAAGGCAACCAGGTTACTTTTTTTTTAAAAGTTAAACCAACAATGTTTTTTTACAGTGTATATGAAGAGTTCAGATGCAAAAGCCTCTAAGTGCCATTTGAAATGTTCTTCTAAAATGATGATTTTTATCAAGCTTGTATATTTAAGTTCAGTGATTCCACTTAAATGGCAATGAAGATTACCTATTAATTGTCATTTAAGTGAAATTACTGAACTTAAATTTACAAGCTTGATAAAAATGGTCATTTTAGAAGAAAATTTCAAATGGCATTTAGAGGCTTTTGCATCTGAACTCTTCATATTGTATCTGGGACTGATATGCTCTTTAGCCTAATTTTATTACCTTTACTTTTGTATGATCCTTTTCTGCTTTAAATTGAAAAACAAAAACAAATCCTGGACATGAACAAAAAAAAAAAAATTCAAACAAAGATTTATAAACATATTTAATATTTCGCACCATTTCAAAGTCACTATTTTGTATTAAATTATCAAAATGTGAAATTTAAAGGTGCATTATGCAAAATTTCATGTTAAAAATAGCCGTTTTTCTAACCCAAACATGCTTTAACAATTGCCTTATGGGCTGAATGAGCCCTTCTCTGATCACATAAGTGTGTAATTTACCTTTCCATTCATACTTTTTAAATTACTTGCAGAATTATAACTTTATTACCTCATTATGACTGCAAAAGATGTGTGCGGCTGATGCTCCTTTGGTTATGAACAGCTCGTGCAAACGTGCATGTGTGTGATCCTTTTTACAGTCTATGGTGTGACCCATGAGCGGCACACCTCTGGTTGCAGTTTCCCTTTGTCGCCAGTGGGGGCGTAGTTCTGCAAAAACTCAGAGACTTTTTTTTTTTTTTTTTTCAGATTAGATTTTTTTTTTTTATTGCAACAAAAAATATACAAAGAGATTTACATGATAATACACATAGAAAAAAAATCAAATAAATAAATAAATAAACATGCCAGGGGTAAAGTTACAATAAATTAAAGTTACAAAACGCTTCATAGGTCTTTCTTGCCTTTTTGTTCTTTATCTAATGAATTACTATATTGTTTTATCTCAAAACTAAGAGACTTGCGTTTTGCACCTTTAAGCATTTATTATCTGTTGGTCTCAAATTTCTTGATATTCAGTTTTTTTTTTTGCAAGCTTTAGATAATTCAATATGGAAATGTTTGTCTCCATTTGTGTCGTTGTAGAAGACATCTTCCTCTGTAAGGCATGTGGCATCTGGTTTCGGAGTGAGAGAAACCTCCAGGCTCACCTTATGTATTACTGCAGTGGTCGACAAAGGGACCCGGAGATGGTTGCAGAGAAAACCACCAATATCAGCCATCAAATGCTCCGCAATTGCACATACCCACAATGCAATATGAGCTTTGCAGGCTCCCATGCCCTGGAAATGCACTTATCTACACATAACTGTGAGTAAACTAATAAGACATTCCTTTTTTTTAATAACTATTTGTCCAGCAACAAATAAAAAAGAGAAAAGATGTAGCTTTTAAGAGCCAATGTTTGGGGGGGGGGGGGGGTTTTGTTGTTGTTGTTTTTTACTTTTCCATCACATTTTAGTTATAGTTTAGTATAACCCTCAGGTGCTCTTCGATCATTTCTGACCGACCATAGGAAATGAATGGGAAATTGACAAAAACACAAAAACTTTGAGAATTTTTGTGTGTACAATCTACAAATCGGCCACGATGCAGAAAAAAAGTGCTCAGCATTGAAGGGGTGACACTCTAAAATATCAAGAGTGCAAAACAGACATACTCACCCCTACACACACACATACACACACACTTTTATACACAAAAACACCAATAAATTGTGATTAAAGAAATCTGTTTTGAATATTTAAAAATCACAGTTTCTTCAGAAAATTACGAAACTTGGTGACTTTTATGGCATTGGGTATGTGAACACAAAAAAAATTGAGGTCATGATTCCAGCAATTTAAGTGGTCGTAAAAAAATGAGTCACACTTTTGCTCTTCTGTCAAAAATGACGACCCATAGGAAATGAATGGGAAATTGACAAAAAAAAAATTTCTCTGAATTTTTGTATGTACAATCTACAAATCGGCCACAATTCTAAAAAAAAGTACACCGCAGGAAAGGGGTGACACTCTACAACATCTAGAGTGCAAAACAGACAAACACACCCACATATACACACATACAAACACACTTTATACACTTGCACACACCAATAAATTTTGATTACAAAAAGTATGTTTTGAATTTTTAAAAATCACAGCTTCATCGCGATGTTACAAAATTTGATGACTTTTATGGCATTATGTATGTGAACACACAAAAAAATTGAGGTCATGATCTGAGCATGCTAAGTGGTATTAAAAAAATATTCACACTTGTGGTCTTTGGTCAAAAATTACCCCCATAGGAAATGAATGGGGGGGGGGGAATTAAAAAAAAATTGTACAAAAATTGTGAATATTTTTTTTTGTCTTTTTTTTTTTTTAAGAAATAGTTTTTGAGATTGTTTCAACTATATATACAAATCCACAAATCCCCCCCCCCCCCCCCCCCAAAAAAAATAAAAAAAAAATAAAAATGTGTTCATAAACAGCTGGGGAATTCACATGCCTCTCCATAGAGAGCTGTACATGCCATCTAGTGGTTACACCATGATTCTACGCCTTTTCTCTATACTGTAACCAGATGGTGCTAATTTTCTTCAAAAAATATTTTTTTTTTCTGAAGGCCTAGACTCTATATTAAACTAAAATACTGCATTAATATTTTTTGAAAAAAATTATATATATATATAGAAAAATATATATATTTTTCCATGGCAAAAATAAACCATAAATATTGCATTTATAAATTCAATTAAATTGTCTCAAAATACTAAATTAAAAAGAATAAATATTATAGAATAAAAATAAATTGCATTGGTTTTACTGGGATGGAGATAAAGTTTCATTTTTAGGTGTCCGGTCACTTTTGACCGGGAAGATAACAAGTGTGACTCCGAAACGAAGAGCACCTGAGGGACAAAGAGGACAGTTTATAGTGAATCAGGAAATGTTAAAAAACTGCTAATGTTATCAAGCATCTGTGCGAACACCCTTGGTTAGACTAAACTGTGTATGATAGTGTTGGTCATTAACACCATTCCTGTTTCTTATTTTTTTAAAGCTCTCAAGTCAGATGAGATATCAACTGGAAGCAACTTGAAATGCACAATTTGTGACTACACCGCTGAAACTCTTATGGCACTCCAGCACCACATCCTCTCCCATCTATCCCAAACCGGCCTGAGATGCGGTCACTGCCACTTCACTTTCCAAACTCCCAGAGAACTGGCCAAACACCAGGAGCTACACGGACATAGCTGTGCTGTCAACAAACTCAAAGAAGACAACTCTCCTAGTAGCATTTCAGGCAGCCCTCAACAAGTCAGAGCTAACGCAAACATAAAAGACCTTCAGGAAAGAACAATACAGCGTGATATGAGTCAAATTTCAGAGTTGGAAAGCACAGAAAGCAGCCAGACATCCACTAAAATTGAGGGAAACTCAGGAAACAAGGCTAGCGTTTCATACTCAAGAGTAAAATCCGAACCTTCGAGTCCCCGTTTAGCCTCCTCGCCCATTCAGCACCAACTGCCTCCTGCCTTTCCCATACCCCCTTTCATACCACAAATCCCATTCTCACAGGATATTACAATGGGCCCGCAGGCATCTGAGATACTGGCCAAAATGTCCGAGCTGGTCCATCGCAGGTTACGTCATGGGGGAAACTCTTATCCTCCAGTGATGTACAGCACACTTGTGCCAAAAGGAGCGACGTGCTTTGAATGCAACATCACCTTCAACAACCTTGATAACTATTTGGTGCACAAGAAGCACTACTGCAACACTCGCTGGGAAAAGCCACACGACTTCCCTGGACTACTGGATAAACCAGCAGGCACTGTAAGCCCTAAAATTGGAGGTATGCTAAATGCCAGCCATCCATCTGAAGTGAAAGGGCATGAGTCGAACCCCATCGCAGGTGGAAAAGTGACAGATGAGCTGTCGGCGCACGTTAAAAAAGCCTCAACTCCATCTGGTGCGCAGGAAAGACCAAACGGCACACAGCTGGATTTGCAATCGCCACCGACTGAAACCGACCCCAACCACACAACATGCGAGGCCTGCAAAATCACCTTCAGTCGACATGAGACCTACATGGTGCACAAGCAGTATTACTGTGCCACTCGCCACGATCCTCAAGTAAAACGGGCCAACAATAAAGGATCAGCCAATCAGAAGTCAGTGCGTCCACGTAAAAGAAGAAAGGCATATGAGATGGCCACTCCCGAGCAAGAACACAACATGCCACCTATGAGTTTGGCATCATTTCTTGGAATGCCGTACTTATCAAAGGACCATCAAAGATACAACATGATCCAGGGGTTAGTACCCAAATATCCCGAGGCTTCATTGACGGTCACGAAATCAGCTCTTGTGTCCAAATGTAATGTAACATCTAAGGAAGAAGGTGATGCACCAATAGATCTCAGTAAAAAATGCACACCACAGTTTGGGATCACTCCGATTTCCCCGGAAGGACTTATGGATTATCATGAGTGTGTTGTGTGCAAGATAAGCTTCAACAAAGTTGAGGACTATCTTAAGCACAAACAGAACTTCTGCCCAGGTATTGTTTTGCTAAATGCTTCCACCGAGAACAAAAACATCAAAAAAGAGAATTCGTCGTCTTCCCTCTTTGAGCTCCCGACAACTTCTGACATACAAGCTTCCGGCGAGGATCAACTAATGCCAGTGAAAGATGACCCGAGGGCCGTGTTTCAACCCACCGCAAAGAAAATGAGACCTGAGGAACAAATTTGGCCTTACTATGAAATCAAACCCACTGATTACGCTACAGGGATGCTGGTGTCACAAAGCGATCGGAGGCAGAGTCCGAACGAGGGCAGTGAGGGAGAGAAAGACCAGCCGATGCCTGACGGTAGCCATCTTAGCGCGGATGACCCCAAGTCCTCATCCCTAAAGAACGGTCTTGAATTTGAAAACGAGATGGACGACGCTGGACCTAAGCAACTTGATTCGGCTACACCGGTCAGTTCCAGCGACTATAAGGAAAGCACATCTCCAAAGACTGAGGAAGAGAGGAAGAGCTTCAAGAGGATGTTGAACGGCTCCACTGCCAGCACGAGTAATTTAAAGTACTGCCGCCCGTGTGACATCCAGTTTAACAACCTTTCGAACTTTATAACACACAAGAAGTTTTACTGCTCGTCACACACAGCGGAGCACGTTAAATAGTGGACCTGTCGCCTGTCTTTAAATCTTCATCACACTCTTAGAAGAAATGGTTCTATTTAGAACCAGAAATGGTTCCATTCCCCGCTTCATATACGGAACTCCAAAATGGTTCTATATAGAACCTTTTTTTTTTTTGGTAAAAGGTTCTATTGGCCAAGTATGGAACCCCAGGGTTCTATATAGAACCCAGAGGAACCCTTTTTTTTTAAGAGTGTATAGAACCTTTTTAGTCCAGTCATTTTATGAAAAAAGTTGAACAAATTGCAACAGAAGCAAACTCAACTGATTTTGTATCCTTAATATGTCCTGAGTAAGGAAAAAAAGCCCAGAAGAATCCCATTAGTGGAAAGTTTCGAAAAAGACCCAAATATATCCCATTCATTCGCCTATTCATTCTTTTTCTCACGTGAATAGGGTAAAAATTTTAACCTTTAGATATCATCATGAAAATCACTGAGTTGATTACTTGCATCAAGACAAACAAAAAATGTTTGACAAACAAAAAAATTACCCAAACAGATCTAAACATTGGGTATAGCAGGTGAAAATATTTTATTTTTTAATCTTGTTGACATATAACAGTAAAAGACTTAATGTTAAGGTCTGAATGGAACCCATTTAGGCTACCCATGAACATTAATACAGGAAGAAGTACTTTAGAAACGTTTGGGCATTGAGTGCATTGTGTACGTAATTCGATTTTTTTGATCCAGACACTTTTTATTTCACCTACCTTTTGTTTTCTGCTTTCTCCTTACCCATGTCTCCTGTTCTTCCCTCAGACTCATCCCCAGATTGACCCAGCCCCAAACCCCATCTCTGCCATAATAATTAATAACGGCTGGTTTCTAAAGTAGGCTACCTCTTCCTGTATTAATGTACATGGGTAGCCTAAATGGGTTCCATTCAGACCTTAACATTAAGTCTTTTACTGTTATATGTCAACAAGATTTAAAAAAAAACCATTTTCACCTGCTATACCCAATGTTTAGATCTGTTTGGGTAATTATGCAAATTAGCACATTATGATTATAGATTATGCACCATTTGTCCATGTTAACAAACAATTTCAAAAAAACTTGTAATACATTTTTTGTTTGTCTTGATGTAAGTAATCAACTCAGTGATTTTCATGATGATATCTAAAGGTTAAAATTTTTACCCTATTCACGTGAGAAAAAGAATGAATAGGCGAATGAATGGGATATATTTGTTGTTTTTTTCTAAACTTTCCACTAATGGGATTCTTCTGGGCTTTTTTTCCTTACTCATGACATATTGAGGATACAAAATCAGTTGAGTTTGCTTCTGTTGCAATTTGTTCAAGGTTGACCCCCATTTTGGCTTAAAATGACTATTTAAGGGTTCCAAATACATAGCGCTGATAGAACCTTTTAAGGTTCTATATAGAACCTTTTCTTCTAAGAGTGCAGGACAACATTCCCAGTTGTAGCAATTTAACAGTGGCCCTGCTATCTTAAATCTGACACCTAATCACCTTATTTGTGATGACTAAAAGTGACAATATGCCGACTCACATATTAGATTTTTCACAAGCACTGTTTTTTTTCCCCGTTGTGGTCAAAAACAAAAGACATTTTTACAATTCCATGCTGGTATACATGGCAGCAGGAGGACAATCAAATCAGGAGATTTATCCTACCAGTCAATTATTAGAAATGTTTAAAATATTTGTTGGGAATATTCTGTGTTGATAGTTTGTGTGTGTGTGTTTTTTTCTATTTATTTATTTAATAATAGTTGCAGCTTGAAATGAAAAACAAGTTTATGAAAGTTTTGGAATTACAGAAAGCCACATGAATTGTAGAAATTGATTAAAAAGAAAAAAAAATGTGTCAACATATCCTAAAATACTTGCAATCAAGTTTTCTGAGTTTAAAATTGTCAATACATGTAGAGTCTAGTTTGTCCTAGATGTTTCTTTATGCTTCAAAATGTTTTCTTGTCAATGCAGAACTCTTCTTAAAAAGGTAACCTCTGTGTGTTTTCTTTTTATATATTTGGCTTCTAATGCAATACTTTTTAAAAGATGAAATGTTATTTGAAGCAGTATTAAGGGAAACTTTTTATACTTGGACCCCAGAAACTGTCTGTGTGAAGTGTTTACTGAAGTCTACCCGGAGAAGGGTTTACACTTGGTATGGATGACTCATTGTAATCTTTCCTACAGAAAAACAACTAAATAATGTCATTTTAAAAAAAAAATGTGTCAAAAAAAATGTGTTGCTATGCATGTACCTGTATGGAATGAAATTCCAGAAATGTGGGAAATGTTATTTTATGTGGCATAAAATTAAATTTTTTATCTCAGGATAGCAGTGTCGATTAATTATTATTAACATTTTTTTTCTTTTTATTATTAATGCACAAGTTTTTTTCAGGACATACTGAATACTCATAGAACTCTAGTTGCATCATTCAGGACTGTAGGAGTTTGTACCTTCAAATGTGCAAGCACTGGCACCACCTGGTGTAAGTTACGATTCAAGACATGAAATTAAAGGTCCCGTTCTTCGTGATCCCATGTTTCAAAATTTAGTTAGTGTGTAATATTGTTGTTAGAGTATAGGCTAAATAATATTTGTAAAACTATAAAGCTTAAAGTCCAATGCCAAGCGAGATATTTTATTTAATTCAGCAGCTCTGTTGACATAGGCTTAGCTAGCTTGATGAATTGAGTCGTTGAACACAGAGAGAATGCAATGTTAGCCAGCTAGCTAAAGCTCCTAGCTTTGGAGGTCATAATATTTTTGACTAATGGCTGAAGTTAAATTTCTCCAGTTCTCCCCAGGTTGGCAAAAATGCATATCAAAATGCATCAGATTGATGCTTTAAAATATGGAATATTTAACTTTTTCTTATGGGGGTGCGCATGCCCCCGGACTCCCCCAGGGGGTAATCCTTCTCACTTTTTCACCCCTGACTGACCCCTTTTCATGCCTGGGCAACTTTGGGCCAGCTTCTTGCCCAGCTACATTGTACAAAAATGATGTTGCACATCTAGCTGTAAAATAAATTAAATGTATTTTATTTTTATTTTTAAATAAGTTGTTATGGGTCCTACTATCCAAATAGATCCACCATCTATGTCCGCCAACAGTTTTCTCAGTATATTTTCCTGATTTTTTGTCCTTTGCCAATCACATGCCTGAGCATTATACTTCTGGGTTCTGGGTCATCATAACTGCACCTCTCTTTTGGATATAGGCCAAAAAAACCCTAACTAAGATTTTTCCACAAACCTTAAACCTAACAGCAGATGTCCTCAGCGTGCAGTTTTGACCACTTAAAATGACCAGAAAGCTTTTTTCTCCCATTACTGTTTTGCAAAATAAAGTGTTGATCATTTACATGTCTTAAAGTTACATACTTAAAGGTCGGTAGTGAGGAAAAGTAACCTAATCAATAGCGTATGTGCTGTTGTTTGAAATTCTTCACAACCGCAACAATTTTGACTACAGTCTTCGTGACCTTTATTTTGGAAAACACCGGGTCCCTTATTTTGACTAGTCTTTGGCACTTTTATTTTGGAAAATACGAAGCGGGTCCCTTATTTTGAATCTTTCATGTTGTTGCTGGTTTTGCGCGCTTAGCTACCGCACCGGGAAAATGTCTCGAGTTTACGTGGGCAAATTGAGCTATCGCGCCAGAGAGAAAGACGTTGAAAGGTTTTTTAAAGGTTATGGGAAGATACTGGAAGTGGACTTGAAAAATGGGTAAGTAATATTATCTTTGTACAAGCAAATTAAATGTGCACCCGGAACAGCGATTGAGTCATTAAGAAGGATACACGGTTTGTTCTTTCCTCCATGTGATTTACAAAAATTCTAGCACTAATAGCTATATTATGAATTCGTTTGCAGAATTACTAATTAATTACGCTTTAGAATATATTTAGAAATATTTTCGGCTGTTAATCGGTCATTTTTAACATATTTTTAGCTGTTTTAGCACAGCATGCTATTGCTAACCCCATTGTTTCCAGGGTGGCCTCGACTGAATTCTTCATTTTTCTTTTATTTTTTTCGCTTAAAATGAAATGTAGTTGATATTTACTTTTTTTATTATACAGGTATAGCAGGGTCTGTGACCTCGTGAAAATGCTTATATTTTTGTTATATATATATATATATATATATAACCAACTATTTGAGTGAAGAGTTTAGTTAAAAAACGTTAATTGAAATGCATGATCAGGTGATTAACTTTGTCTATTATATAATACTTTGGGTTCATATGCTTGTATTGTATCGCAATTCACGGATTTAACTAATGGTTAAATTCACTGTGTTAAAGAAAAAAAAAAGAAAAAAAACAATTGATGTTGTTAATACAACATAAAATTGCTCAGCAAGCTATTTCGTGACTTTAGCCATTAAATTAGACTATATAGGGTAATAAGAGTAACCTAGGGAATAGCTGAAAAAGATAATTTTATGATCAGACAATTTTTTTTGTTGTTGGTTGCAGTTGTAACATATTTGACGTGCATATTTCCCTGAAATCTCATAACTCTCATCTATCTCTTTAGATATGGCTTTGTAGAGTTTGATGACCCCCGTGATGCAGATGATGCTGTGTACGACTTGAACGGCAAAGATCTTTGTGGGAAGAGAGTGATAGTGGAGCACACCATAGGACAGCGCCGTGATGGAGGCAACCGATCTGGGAGAAGTAAGATGTCCATTTACTCGCTCTTCCAGAATACTATATACCATATACTATTTCTATTTCATATAAAATTATTTTTTGGTAAATGTTGGATTGTGCAAAAACTGTTTTTTCAGGCTTCTCAGCTGGAAAGTTTGGTGCTCAACATGCCCATTATGATTTTTAAGCGTTATACCAGAATTAGGTGTTTCCATTGATGTCACAGCATGGTCTTCTTCAGATAAAGGAGATCGGCTCTGACATGGTTTCAACAGTTCTGTCCAAAAACCCTGTTAAGTAAGACATTGATGGTTTAATGGTGCCCTAGAATGTGTTAAAGTAATATTTAAATTTTGTTTCTGATATCTACGTAGAGGGTATTATGGCTTTAAGGGCATTTCAAATGTTAAAATGATTGTACAGGTCCATTTTCAACACTAGAAATTGGCCTTGGAATGAAATTCTTTGTTTTTACCTTATTTGGAAGGATCATGAATAGTAATGTGGAGTTCTGCTCTGATTGGCTGTTTCACTTCACACACTCTCAAATACAAGCGTGCAAAATAATCATACGTCAGTTTTCAAAAATGAAAACATTTGAACAATTGGACCAACGTTAGATGCCTTAAACTGTTAATGCAACTTAAACTTTTGCGGTATCCGATTATAGATTATAAACATCAACGCCTGTTGACATTTCTTTTCTGTGGGAAGGGTATGAAAAGAACAAAACAAGATTTTAATGGTGTTTGAGACTCTTTTCCTATTTAACTATGCCAAAATAAATCTAGGGCACCTTTAAAACAGTGAATCACTTGTCCTTAGGCATGTTAATGTCATCATTGATTTTTGTTTTTCATGTTCATATTGACTCACTTGATCTTAAAACCGAATGAACAGCATGTTTGAGAGCGCCCAGTCTCTGTATGAGAAGCCTGAAAATAGTGTGTTTGTTAATTTCTTTTGTATCATCATATGCAGTTACTGTTTTAAGTTTGTAGGGAGGAAAATTGTTTTGGTAATCTTTACAATGTTATTGATGGGTGATTCTTCAGATGGGAGAATCAATATAACACACAGTGCACTTTTTAGAAAAGGAAAATGACGGATCTGCCTCAAGTAAGTTTCCCTGAATGAAGAATCACCCTGAACATTTTTAGTAATTCTAAATATTGTAATTTCTGCTTCTCTATATGCAGATATCTATTGTTGCAATATTATTTTCATTTTCTAAATGAAATACCTTTTTAATTCAAAATAATAATGTCAAAGCTAGAAATTTAACCCTCAATGTTTCATTAAAAGAGTCTGACTGCCTGCCCCTTTTGCTGGCCATGGTGTCCCCCTTTCCATGCGTGTGGCTCTTTGACCAAACTGGGCCCCTGGGCAGACCATTAAAGCGAGCCAATGTGAATGAGGACCGCTTTTCCCATTAAGCCGGGTGGTGAGGATACCATTGGGTTTAGGAGATGTGGGTTGAGCTCTTTTAGGTGCCTGTAATATGTTTTGGTTTTATTTATTTTCACATTTTCATTTTCCCCGTTAATTAATCTTTAATAATTTTAAGTACAGCGTAAGTATGTTATTTGGCGGAATATTTTCAGTTCTTGAAGAATAAATCTATATTACAGTGATTGTTCACCAATAATGATTGTCATAATTTACTCTCACCCTTATGTCATTTTTTTTTTTTTTTTTTTTTACAGAAAACAATATAATTGAAACCTTTTTTTTTTTTTACAATTTGTCCAGATTTGGACCTTTACTGATTTAAAAAAAAAAAAAACATGATTCTTTATAGACATATCTCCAGCATGTTGTTTTTAGTGTTACACCGATGACATATGGGTGAATAAATGATAGATTCATTTTTGGATGAAATGTCCCTTTAAGTTAGTTAAAGGTAGAATTCAGTTTGTAATGTTTACATTAGTAGCAGTAAATCCAGTTTCTTAAACCATAAATGAAACTGTACTGTTTAATTGTTGTCAGTGTTTTAAGTTTAATCTTTTAGTGTTTCTGTGTGTGAAATCCACAAAGTCTTAAAGGACCCTCCATTGTCTTTTACCAATCCTGAACTGTATCCATCTTATTTTCGCCATTTTGAAGGTAATAATCGGTATGGGCGCGGAGGGGGAGACCGGTACGGCCCACCTACACGCACGGATTACAGGCTGATTGTAGAAAATCTGTCTAGTCGCTGCAGCTGGCAGGACCTGAAGGTACAAAGACACACTATTTTTATTTGTCTTTTGTTTGCTAAGGCGACATCACTGTTACTATTACTTATGCTTAGGGATTTGAACAAACCCCTCACTCAAAGATATGAATGATTCGACTTAGTTTTCAGTGTGATCAGACTTATGATTTTCACCTGGCGGATGATAAAACGGATTTTAACCCTTATGTGCTGTTCTGGCTTTTTATTCAGCCACTATGGGGTATTTTTTAGTCTTAATTTGGCCATAACTTTTTCCTTGTTTCAGCAAATGGAATGATTTTTGTTGACAAATCTTATTTTAATACATATTTTGGGAAAATGCTTTGAAATTTTTCAAAAACTCAGCAGTGCACTATGGGCAAATTCACTACCCTTTCGTTATGTTCGTGGCTGAAAAAAGCCACTACTTTAAACTGCTGTAAAAATGTATCAGATAAATATTTTTTTCAATTTATTTTTTATTTTTTTGCATAAATCTATTAATCAACCTCAGTCCTGATTAAAACTACTAAATGTATAAAAAAAACTTCAGGATTTTAACTCTTTAATTGCCAAATTCATAAATGATGTCACTGATTTGGGGGGGAAAAAAACACACAAAATGACTTATTTTCAATATAAATTATAATTGTGGACTGGATTTTTTTTTTTAACGTTTTTTTTCCACAATCATATTTTATATTGAAAATGAGTCATTTTGTAAAAAAAATTTTACTGTAAAAAAAAAATCCAGTCCACAATCATATTTTATATTGAAAATAAGTCATTTTGTAATTTTTTTTACTGTAAAAAAAAATCCAGTCCACAATCATATTTTATATTGAAAATAAGTCATTTTGTAATTTTTTTTTACCGTAAAAAAAATGCAGTCCACAATCATATTTTATATTGAAAATAAGTCATTTTGTGTTTTTTTTCCAGTGGCATCATTTATGAATTTGGCAATTAAAGAGTTAAAATCCTGAATTTTTTTTAAACATTTAGTAGTTTTCATCAGGACTGAGGTCGGTTAATAGATTTATGCAAAAAAAAATTGAAAAAAATATTTATCTGATACATTTTTACAGCAGTTTAAAGTAGTGGCTTTTTTCAGCCACGAACATAACGAAAGGGTAGTGAATTTGAACAATGCACAAGGGTTAAAAAAATCCATAGACTTGCATCGAAAGAGTGACCTGAATCCAGAATATCTCAAATTCTAGAGACCAGAATAATACCGAGATATGAAGGCTTTTATTTATTTATTTATTTTTTTATCTTGGGACAGCAAGTAATTTGCTAGCAACCACTCAAACCACCATAGCAACTACATCACAAAATTTAAACGCCTTAGAATTTTTTTTAGCAACCATCCAAAACACATTAGCTTTGTTGTGGATTGGAGTTATTGCACAAGGAAGCACCACTCACTTTTTTCTTAAAGCAAAAAATAATAATTTTAAAGATCACTGCCACTAGCCTCCAAATCAAACTATTATGTCTTTTAAAATGGATAAATGCATAAATATAATGGAAATTTAATAGGGCACGTGGTCAACGATTTTGTCTAGTCACTAATGTGTCATTGATTCATTTCAGGACTACATGCGTCAGGCTGGTGAGGTAACATATGCAGACACTAATAAGGGCCGCAAGAACGAGGGGGTCATAGAGTTCAGGCAGTACTCGGACATGAAAAGAGCCCTGGAGAAACTTGACGGCACTGAGGTCAATGGAAGGAAAATTCGTCTCATCGAGGACCGACCTGGTGCCAGACGCAGACGCTCCTATTCTCGCAGTGCTTCCAGGTGCAAACAAATCAAATTAGATTGTAAATGTGTGGGAGACTTATAACTGATAATTAAGATTAATGTCACATTAAAGGATTGGCTAAATAAGCTACTTTAGAGGTTCACAGAGAACAAATGTAACGTTTTTATTGCTTCTTGCACACGTCCTTCAGGTCTCGCTCCAGGAGCAGGAGGTCTCGCAGGAGCCGAAGCCACAGTCGGACCAGTAGCCGCTCGAGGTAGGCCAATGCCACCGTTTGGTGTTCGATGAGTCCACTAGAGGGCAGTAATTATTACATTAAAAATAAGTTCTGTGCCGTCAGTCTTGCTAATATACATTGATTTGATTGACCTTGACCTTTCCAGACCCTCAGGCTCACGATCACGCAGCAGGTCAACCAGCAAGAAGACGAAGGGCAGGAGCAGTAGGATGGAGGAGAGCAGTAATGGAGCTCGCAGGGGAGGTGAAAGTGCCAGGGAGAATAGTTTGAGCTGCAGCCCCCAGAGCAAAAAGGGCAAACGCGAGAACAAGAGAGGTCGCTCTTATTCTCGATCCAGATCTCGGTCCAAATCGAGGTCCAAATCGGGTAACAACAGGGATCTCTCCAGGGATTCTGGGTCTAAATCTCAGGAGGCAACCAAGGGCAGTGATGAAGGCAGAGTGGCTGAAAGAGCGCAGCGTTCTAGAGCTCATTCTCGATCTAGATCACAGACGCCACCAGATGCTGATCTGCGCAGGGAATCTAGATCTAGATCTAGGTCCAGATCCAAATCTCACTCCCATTCACGCTCAAAATCGTATTCTCGATCTCGATCCCACTCAAGGTCTCGTTCCTAAGTCCATTTAAAAAATAAAAAAAAAGTCGATTTTTCTCAATCAGTATTTTTCATCTTGTTTTCCAGTCTAACTCGAATCTTTAAAACAAGGATATATCTTAAATTAATGTTTTTTTTATTTTAATACCCCACTTTTGGTCACTAAATTTATTTTTTTTGCTTAATACGAGAGAATTATTTACCATTGGGGATAGAAAATAAACTTAATTCAAGGTATACTGTCTGAAAACAAGTCTGAATACGTTACATTTTTGAGGAAAAACTGTCTTGTTTTTAGATGTTATTTCTTGAAAATAAGATGACGAAAGACTGAATTATGTTTTGCAGTCGATGTCTAAATGTTGTTCTGCCCTTCATTTCTATTCTTTGAAGCAAACCACAGTTTTTCTTTTTTGTCAAATAGATAGGTATTAGGGAAAATGCTTGCTTATTCACAGTTCAGTATTTTCTGGTATTGTTAACCCCATGCATTATTTTTAGTAGTGTTTTTATTTTAAAACTGCTTGCATATATTTTATTCATAAAGACTGAGTAAAATTGAGCCCTCATTAGATGTCCTAACCTTTGGATTGTGTACTTTAGACATGTCCCATAAATGTTGTTAAAAATGGGGCAGTTTATGGTCTTTTTACAACACATTTCTCCATACAAAATAATAAAAAAATCTGCCTCACAATACTTTGTGTCATTTAGTTCATTTACAAAGATATGTGGTGGGTTTTCTTAATATTTAAAGGAAACTAAGATCAATTGAAAACTATATGATGTTGTGGAACTTTACCATGCAATGCATACTTTTTCCAGTACCTTCAAATGGTCTTCGTTTCCCATTTACACTTCTGGGCCTCGGGTCTATACGATCCCAATAATTGATTCATTGTACAAAAAATATACATTTTTAATCATACGAATAATATTTTTTTGTTTTGTTTACTTCTCATCTATTCATTAATGCTATGTTTTTGGAGATATAAAGTACTTTTGTATCAATATACCACACAATTCCTCAACTACACCTTTAGCATATAAATTTTTTTTTATGATACATTGCATTTATGCTCTAGTACTAGGCCTTAATTTTTGTGTAAAAAAAAATCAGATTTATGCCGGATTTTTTTTTTTTTTTTTTTTTTTGAACACTTGAAGAAAATCTATTTCGTTTTTTTTTTTTCTTTTTTTTTTTCCTTCACATTTCCCATTCATTTCAACGTGGGCGTGGGGTCATATTGACCCCGAAGACCAGAAGTGCAAACATTTGTTTTACATACCTTCTGAACAGCCGAATCAAAGCCAGGTTAGATAGATAATGTATGAAAAGTCACAAAATCTTATTCCACTGAGATGAAGGGAACCCTTTTTTTAAGTAAAAGTCGATTGGGGTCGTATAGACCCCATAATCCGATTGAGGGCTACTTTTCACTCTTTAACTCTAATCTCAGGCTTTGTTGTGGATTCAAAACAATAATATTAGCATAATTTTGTCGTTATGATACAATGAGGAGTGAATGTTCTAGTGTGAATTAAAAATCAGCTGAATTTGTCCAGTGAGGAAAGGCTTTACTGGTTTGAAATGATGGGACGAGTGAACAAATGAAAAAAAAATGTTAATTGCTGAGTGTACGAATCCCAATATTAACTACATCATAATCTAACAGTTTTATGTTGAAATTGAATATAACTCAATCTATAAAAGTAATTTGCGGACGATTATTTCTCCGCCTCTCCATGTAAAAATAATTCCACAAGATGTCGCCAACACTCAGATAACCGAAAAAAAATTCATGTGTCTGTCTATGGTTATTTCTACTTTAGCTACTTCCATCAGGCATTTCGTCTTATTTTCCCTCATTATATGGCATATTTAAACACATCCACCAACATATTTTGAGGCTTTACTTCTCAAACCCCCAAAGGGGTTAATGTAGCCTGTTGAATGTGCATTATGGGCCATGTCTGATTATATGGAAAGCGAAGTGAAGTCTGGTCACTCACTCCATTGAGTCTAATTAAAAAAACACACACGACGAAGGAGGCGCTCTCCTCAACACTTTACTGAGGGAAGTACATGAAACGTGGACATTGGAGAACGGTCAGACGTTAACTAGTGATGAAGGAGCGATATTTACCTTATGTTTCTTTTGAAAGTCAGTTCTTTTAACAATTTAGTGTCCTTTTCTTGAGAGGTAGAGCTGTCATGGGAGACGCGCGGCACCCTGCACGCGTCTGGATTATTGATGGAGAACCGCGAAACTTCGCAGTGGATGAAAAACATCACGAGCACGCGAGTCCGGAGCGGTAGAACGATGGAACGCGGACGCGATACATTGTAACAAAGGCAAGTAAACGCATCGTGTCTGATACTTTGTTACTAGTTACGTCAAAGCGCCAATGTCAATATCTTGACCTTATTAGAGGTCGATATATTTCAAATGTTAGGTCTATCTCAAGTCTAATCTTAAATCGAGAGATTGTGCCTTCAACACGGGCTGTTTAATTTAATGTCGTACAGAGAGACATGTATTTGCATGAATTTAAGATTGAGCCCACTATTAAGGGGGAAAAAGTAATATTATTAGCACAAACTAGAGCTGCTTATGTGTAAAATGGCAATGAATTACAATGACATAATGGATGATTTCTATGTGGTGCATTATTTAACATATAATAACAAATAAATTGGGGAATGAGTCCTTGCTGCAATGTCAGACATTTTCTTGAATTGTGAATAGGAGATGTGAAAAGTCGTAAATACAGCAGAGGTGACACTATGAATCCATTTAGACTGTATGCATCTATGCTAATGATGCCAGTAATATTTAGAGTTCACACATGAATGTTAGTTCAACTACAAAGGGATGTCTTGGGTGCATAATTGTCTGTACAAATAATCAAGAAATAATTTGAAACATTCAACACAATTGGGATTTAACGATTGATCTGCATCTGCTGTGTATATTTTATACTCTTGTATAATTAATTTCACCCATTTGGGAACCAGAGTGAACAGCCATTAAAAGTAAAGCTGAAATTTGTAATGGAAAAAAGAGGTCTGGAATTCATCAGTCAAGTCCTTTGATGAATCAGTCCAAACATATGCTCCAAGATGCATGGATGGCACTATACATTGTTTCTCTATATGGATCGCATTTAACTTACAGAGTTGAACATTTTCATAGTTGTAAAGGGATATGTTTAATTTTATGATGCAGCTTTGATTTCAAAAGGCAGTTTTGACCAATTTTGCATATTATTATTATACACAATTATGGCCTCAGCCTCATTGTTTACATTGGCCATATTACTTTGCATCTTTAAATAGCTTTCAAGTTCTATCTAGTACTCAGAACATCCAAAGCATTTCCTATGAGTTTAAACAAACCAAGCGAGTTGGCAGAATTGTAAATGGCATTTTCGGAGTTGTTGAGAAACCTCTGCCAATGGAGCGTTTGTTATTCCAGAGTGAATTTGCCACATCAAATTTGTCATTTATGGACTTTTGTTTGGCCAAAACTTAGCATGGACTTTGGAGAAGTCATTTAATGTCATTTCATTTCATGAAGTCATTTAAAGACATTATCTTTGACACACATACATACTATACATAACAAACTTTAGTAAGGGTCTTACTGGAGACTATTGCTTTGGCATTGTCACATGCATCCCATAAACAACATTTGCAACTCAATTATATTAAACTATGATTTCCAATTTATTATATAATACAATAAAATCATTTGATCATCTACTGGCGAATAAGTTCTTTGTTTGTGCCATTTATCTTTGAATTTCTCATCAAAGACGCACTGGTTCAGACATGGGCAGCATTTTGTCTTTATAAGTGTAAGTGTTATTCACAAATATCATGCAACAGTTATGCAATTACAAGTCCATGGGGTAAATTAACAATTCATTAATTTCTTTACACATCCCATGAGTCCAGGGCTTGATTTGTATTTAACCTGGAACATTCCTGTAATGTATTACTATGTGCTTTCAGTGCTTTTTGAAGTTTGTGCAAGACAAATCACTGCACTTGTTTTCTTAAATTATTTAAAACAAGACAAGCCCCTATGGATTAAATATTAATATAAGACATTATAAATAACAGGAGCATTAGCATTAATGTATCAATCACTATAATAGCATTATAATAGTTGTAGCATATAGATGATCCAATCTGTATAGGCTTCATTTACCCTTGGCAACCTGTATCCGGATGTTGTCCACATACACATACGCTACTTTCAATGATTTTCATGAAATTATTATTTTCAACATACAAGATTAATGTTGGGAAATAGAGGCTAAAGTAAAAAGTTGTTTTATGCTACAAAGCCATTTGAAGCTTCTGCCTTTCAAACGCACCACAGAAATAATTTAAATATAGTAGGGATGCACCGATATGAACATTTTGGCCGATACCGATAACCGATAATTCTTTATATTTGAAAACCGATAACCGATATATCGGCCGATAAATCTAAATCCAATTTTTTTATATATATATTTTTGGAGAGCCTGATTGCAAAAACAAAAGTCTCACAATTAAAATCCATTTCCCAATCACACAATTATAATGTTCTCATTATAATTTCATGAAGCCGATATGACAGGATATTTTTTGATTTTTTTTTCCTTTTTGATTCCGATCATATTTCAAGCAATTAAGATCAATCCTGTTAAACAGTGCGCATCTTACGTGTCTCAAGTGTCAAGTGTTGAAGGAAATAATTCATTATTTATCAGCTTTAATATATCAGCCAAATTTTATTATCGGGCCGATAACGATAACATAAAAATGAGCAAATATCGGCCGATACCGATATGGTGGCCGATATATCGTGCATCACTAAAATATTGTGTGGGAAATATGATTGGTTATCCAGATACAGAGGCCACTTAACGTGAAGAAATGTAAACACGCCGTGTCCTTATTGGCTAATGATCCAATCTATTCACAGGGATTACAAGAGTTAAATTCTAACAGTCTAAAATAAATTACTGAACGCATGTCACCACTTGACCTCAACCTTTCCTCCTCACCTTTACAGATTCCCATAAGGGATAATCACAGACCAGCCTGTGCCATGAGGTCTCAGAAGCCCTGCAGCCGGACGTCGGGCACACCTTCCCGTCAACGCCTGCCACGTTTCAGTCTTCACTCCAGGAGAAAGAAGGAATGCGTAATCCAGGGAAAGCTGCGTATCCGTTCCATGCCAGGCGCCTTTCTGGTTCTTGGGGTGGTGGTTGTCGTTGTTGGCACTGCACTTGCCGTGGCGGGCTACTGGCCATACAGGGCCCATCGATCATCAGTGGGCACAGTGGAGGAAGGATCCTCTCGAACCGCATCAGGATGGGGAATAGCGTCCAAAGGACTGCTTTCTGCGGCGAGTCTGGTTCACAGTGAAAGGATGAAACTTCTAGGACCGGTCATAATGGGAGTGGGACTTTTCATACTTATTTGTGCCAATACGGTACTCTACGAGAATCGGGACAGGGAAACTCAAATGCTCCTGGCTCAGATGCGGAGCGTCATTTGTTCAGTTTCTGCAGCCATGCCTTCGGCGGACCTCTTGCAAGTGAACTCTCTTGCCAGGCACTACCAATGGGTCAGCAGTTTACCTGCAGCCCACCTAAACATCCTCTGCCTGCACGAAATGTCCAGCTCGGAGCCTCTACTCCAAGTAAAGAGCATGGATGAGGAGCACACTGAGGTTCTTCATCATCAGGACTCTTCCTCGTCCCCCTCCGACTCTTGCAACAACAGCAAAGAGGAACAAGGGGCCATCTCTGCACTGGATCTGCGGCAAGACACTCACGTTGGACTCAGCAACTGTGTGACCACATCCTCAATGTCCACACTAGGTGGGGAGGACTGTGAGATCTTCTCCATCCCACCCAGACGCTCTTACAGCATGAGCCACAGGACTAAACCACATATATCACCCAGGGATCTGGTTCATCCAGAGTACAACACTATGTCCTCTATGGGTCACCAAAGACTGCTTCCAGGACAATCCAGCTCAGAGGTGTGTGTGAACATGGTTGGCGTTGGCCTTATACCGGTGGAAGAGCAGAGGCACCGCAGCTGGCCGCGACTAGACCTCGGGAGTGCCAGGAGGTATCTCAAGCTGGAGAACAAAGAGGACTCTGTGGACAAGTTACTGGACCAGCTTGAGCAGCAGTGCTTACAGATGGACAAAAGCTATGGCTCAGGACCCTTCCAGTGAGCTGCAGTTTAATCATTACATTAATGGATTGGCAGCTCCCGTGGTCATTAGGAGGAATATTACGCTTGGAATAACTCAAATGGATATTATTTGCACAGTTTCTGGAATCCCTTGAGGCCAAACTCATTTCTAAGACCTGGCCATTTTACTCACTTGACTAGTTTTTGTAACTAGTTTGGAGATTTGCGAAGTATGAAAATGTCAAATGGACGACCTGCTGCCCTTGACGGTGTGGGAATATAAATATACGTGCTGAAGGAGGATGATTGGATGGATCCCATGGCTTATGTGTAAAAGGCCAGTTGGTGGGATCGGTTTGTTACTTGTTACTGGGACACATAAGCAGCATTTGAGGTAGAATAAACTAAGAACTCGGCAGTGAGATTCAAAGTAAACACATTTCTAACATTCGAATTCAGGTCAGCCTAAAGTATAACTGTGGATTTGATGGAGAGAGCCAAAAATAGAGAATGCTGGTTCTTTGAGCAAATCCAAACTGTGTGCTTACTATTGAAATGTCTATTATAATTCATTTAAATGGTTGCAACTTGCAAGTTAAGGTAGCGCAACCTCAGTTGCAATGTCTTTAAATCTGTGTCTATGGTTTCCCAGAGTGTCTATTCTCCTTGTATGTCACCTTTTTTCCATCTTTGCCTGAGGGTGCAGCGCCCTCTTGGCTTCATTAACCAAGGTGATCAGTGTTTTTTACGGAGGCGTATTGCATTCACTTGAAGAAAAAAAATCTACCCTGTTTTTCTGAATTAACAAGTTAATTATCTCAGAATTACGAGATAATTTTTCATGGGAAAAAGTTTTTACTCTGTTTTTCTGAATTAACGAGTTCATTTTTCATGAGAAAAAAAAAGTTTTGCTCTGTTTTTCTGAATTAACGAGTTAATTTTTCATGGATTTTTTTTTTTGCTCTGTTTTTCTGAATTAATGAGTTAATTTTTCATGAGAAAAAATGTTTTGCTCTGTTTTTCTAAATTAACGAGTTAATTTTTTCATGAGAAAAAATTTTTTGCTCTGTTTTTCTGAATTAATGAGTTAATTTTTCATGAGAAAAATTTTTTTTGCTCTGTTTTTCTGAATTAACGAGTTAATTTTTCATGAGAAAACATTTTTTGCTCTGTTTTTCTCAATTAACGAGTTAATTTTTCATAGAAATATTTTTTTGCTCTGTTTTTCTGAATTAACAAGTTAATTTTTCATGAGCAAAAAATGTTTTGCTCTTTTTTTCTGAATTAACGAGTTAATTTTTCATGAGAAAAAAGTTTTTGCTCTTTTTTTCTGAATTAACAAGTTAATTTTTCATGGACATTTTTTTAATTCAGAAAAACAGAGCAATGTCCATGAAAAATTAACTCATTCATTCAGAAAAACAGAGCAAAAACTTTTTTTCTCATGAAAAATTAACTCATTCATTCAGAAAAACAGAGCAAAAACTTTTTTTCTCATGAAAAATTAACTCGTTAATTCAGAGAAACAGAGCAAAACCTTTTTTCCATGAAAAATTATCTCGTAATTCTGAGATAATTAACTTGTTAATTCAGAAAAACAGAGTAGTTTCCTTTTTTCTTCAAGTGAATGCAATACGCCTCCATAGTTTTTGCATGCACTAATGCGGGTATATAATTGCTTTCCCTTTAAAGGGTGGAGCTTGACAGAGCTCATCCTCTTAACAGTGAGAATGTGGAACTTCACTCTGTTTACAAAAACAAGGCTGCCACCCTGCCTCTATTTTGTCTGGTCTGTTGTGTTGTTTGCTGTGTTCTCAATCTATACTGAGCAACATCCACAGTCTGATCAATCCAGTAATCAGATACTTTACACCACCTTTGAATTGAATTCCATGCCTGTGTTGCAAATAAAAGGCAAAACAAAACCACTTTAAATGTAAGTGATTTTTTACTAAATTGTTGTGCGTGAAGACTCAGGCTATGTTTACACGGAAACTATTCTGAAGAGAAAACGCAAAAGTGGCGTTGCGTTATCACTTTTTATTCTGCGTTTAGACGAGTGTTTTGGGTGGGAAATCCGCGTGCATATGCACGCAAAAGTGTGTGAAATTCAATGTAGTACTCGGGCAAAGTGGCTCTTGATGTCCGTGGCTTAAAAAAACTAAAAATGAACGTTACTATTTTATTTAAACTCTAAAGTACATTTATATTAATGCATAAATAAAGATTACATTTTCTTTATCAAACACCTACACCTGATTTTGTAATCCTACAACAGGAATCCCTGTTGTTTAAAGGTGCAGAAAGGCATAATATTATTGTAATGAAGCAGAGCTCAGCGATGCGCTTTATGTGTCCTAGAATTATGGATGTTTAATGTTAAACTGCTGGAACCACCTTAAAAGCCTTAAAAGCAAGGTCTGTTTCAGGGATGATGGATGAAAGCATTGTAACATATTCACAGTAAGTGTGAATATATGGTGCTTGTACTGAGACATTACTTAGACATTATATTTTTCCTCTACCCAAGTTTAAGAAATTAACTACTTATTTTACAGACATTAATAGTTTTTAAGATTTAAGTCCTCCCTTTCATCGTTACACATTACAAATCTAGCAAACGGTAATGACACTAGCATTTGCATACCAAATTATGATTGGTCTTTTTGCTGCTACATCATTTTACAGTCTGGATATTACTATCAACCTTTCTGTCTGTATTTATCCTACAGTGGATATAAAAGTGTACATCCTGTTATAACAATTTGTGATGTTAAAGCTGTCTTCTAAAAGCTGATTTTTCTGTAGGATTCAGCTCTGGCTGAAAACAACTGATTTTCACAGCTTTAATGTAAAAATGACACCCTATGGAATGACAAAAAAAATTGACCCATTTAATTGGGGAAAAAAAACTTTTATAATTGATCATGTAGTTGTGTTCAGAATGAACAAGCGATAGCTACTAAATTGCCACACAATATTAAAGTAAAAAACAATGTATTAGTGCAACTTTCTTGAAGTAAAATCACTAAAAGCCTTCCTTCCGCTAGAAAAAAATAGTCCCTGAGCGTGAACAGCAACAACGTTGCAGTGCATGAAAGCTCAAATAAAAACAACATGGAATCGCAGTGTTGCGCAGCGATCAATAGAACCGTTGGGTGAAGCGGTCATACGCCTTATTCACGGCAGCGCCATCTTTGATTTTTAATGAGAATGAAAGCGAGGCTGTGAGGGATAGACTTGCATCTCTTCAATGGGCTGTATTGTTATTTAATGTGTTTTCGGATTGTTCTGCTCATGAAACACTGGAAAAAAATCTTTCCAAGAAATGTCAGTTGACAAAAAACTCCCGACAATGTAAGCTGTGGAAAATTGTAAGTAATCTAGCCGCTTTATTCAGCTTTTTACAGCGGATGCCATTGGAAACACGGTAAGGGCCAATCCCAATTCTATCCCTCACAGCCTCACTTTCATACCTGTCATAGCGCTGCTCTGAATAAGGTCTATAGCCGTGTTTTATCGTGAATAAGGCACAGCTCTTGACCAATCAGAATCAAGGATTCGAACTAACCGTTTTATAATAATGATTAACACCTCTATGGTTAACTCCACGATTAACGACTCTATGATTAACTCCAAAGAGAAAACCAGTCAGTGATGCTGCTGTCAAGAAGCATTAAGGCCGTGTGTCCACCAAAGCGTTTTTTCACGCGCCTGGAGTATGTTTTCAATTGTTTTCAATGGGAGCGCCGCGTTTTTTAAATGCCATGAGCGTACCGAGGCGCTGAGCGTTTTTTTCACGCTGAAGCGCCGAGCGCCCAGCGTTTTTTACTGTGTCAATCACACTCGTGTACGCGCGAAACACGAGAGAGCGCTCGTGCACACACACACAGCGCGCCGTCAATCAAAACAAACTCAAGATTGCCTATGTGTGGCAGCTGTGCGAATGGCGGAGAAACAACCTAAACTGCCAATTTCTCGAGTGGAACCTGCTCATAAAACAAAGAAGGCTAAAAGGAAGAAAATGATGACGATAACCAAGCGAATTAGACAGAGCCCATTGACTCAGTGTCTAAACTCTAGCCGCGTTACATGTAGGCCTAGATAAAATGTCACGCACTGTGCAAAGCAACAATTGAAACCTGTTAATTCACAGGCTTGTCATGTTGCTAAAACCTGAAATAATATTGTGGCGATATAATATTGAGGCCGAGGGACAGGGACATGAGAGCGACGCGAGGCCGGTGGCGTGAGTGGACGACACATATCGGTCTGTCTCGCATCTCTCACGGAGGAGCGGAGGCAAAGGAGGAGCGACGACAGTGGAGAGAGGTACAGGCCTGATTTTATGTTGTGATTTTATGTTCTGTCTTGTGTGGTGTCCGTGAGGGGCTGCTAGCTTACAGTTTAATTTTGTATTTGTTTATTAAACTAAACTTGTTGTACGTTCGCCGGTTCCCGCCTCCTTTTCCTCAAACAACTGAACTCGATATAATGTATTGGCAAACCTTATCTAGCAGTACATGTCGCTAGAATAATAATTACTTGAATTTTATTACATAAGTTACATTATCGTTATATTATCTTAGCCTACTTACTATTTATAACTTCTAGAAAGGGTGCAACGTTATTTTGCATTGCAAAATACGTAGCCTAATGACAAAGTATGGGCAGTAATTAGTCAATGTAAAGCATATTGTTGATGTTTCGAAGAGTATGTGTCATATAACATATTAAGCTATCCGCCGTCATTGGTGTAAATTAGAAACACTTTTCTTGGTTGAGAGAAAAGCCTCATTTGAAAGTTGCTTTTAACATTAGTTTAAGTGTGAACTGTTCTTAATGTTTCTACAACACATTCACTATACTGTGTGCTCTTTTGTTATTATCAACACTATAATGACCTGAATCAAGAATTATTATATGAATTATAATTGATATGAATTGTTATTTTTACAGTTTTATCCATAGCACTTCCCACAAGACAGAAAACATATATATGTTTATAAAATATAATTATATATATATATATATATATATATATATATAGTTTGAAACTGTAAAATATTATAAAACATTATTAGACTACTTTTTACAAGAAACTGTCAGCCTTTAATTAAAAATTAAAAATTTGCATTTAATACAACATTACTTGCTGTTTCTTTGTGATATTATTTGTGTTATTTATTTGCAGTTTGAGTGAAAATTGTAAATCCTAGACCAATATATATTTGTTTTCAGTGTAAAACATTCAAACACTCAGGACTACAGTTTACAAAAGTCTGATGATTCGGCAGAACACAACAACCTCGGTTTATCAACTATACCCCGACTTCATAAGTAACAACCCACTTTGTATCTAACTGGCAAACTGATAAACGTAAAACACGAGAAGAAAAAAAAACTTTGTGAATTTGGTTCAGTAGGTTTCTGTGATGGAAGAGGAAGGAGGAGGGGAAGAGAAATTCCTCTGCTGTAATTATCCTCAGCAGTGTTTTTTTGTTAGGTTTTATGGCTCCTTCCGGGCAGGTATGCAGTCTCTCGTGATCTCTTCTCATTTAATTGATCATTTACAAGATGGCTTCTGCGATTCTAACAGCTTGTAAAGCTAGCAGGCAAGACCCATGCATTTTTTGCCAAAAGTTCCATGAGGAAGAGTTGTATGTACCGTAGGTGGAGAGGGGGCAGAGCAGAGAACTAAAGTGCAAAACAGATTTGTGTGTGTGTGAATTTGAATATGATGTTTCAAACAATTGCAAGGCAATAAATACAGAGACAGTACAAATGTGTCAGCTGGTTGGATTGGTTTATGATATTTACATGTGAGGGCAACATAAACACAAATTCAGAGCATGTTCCAAATAAGTTAAGACCATGATGAACAGTGTGATTATTTGGCACAATGGCAAATTTGGTTGTTTGTGGTTATT